TTCGGATTTCTGGGATCAAAAATTGTCTCACATTCATGACATCAAAGCAGCATCCACGAAAGCTGACCATTATGGGTAACTTGCAAACGTTTTTTGTATCGCTTTGCAATCCGGTCTTCCACGATGTTTATCTTGCATTCGGTTTAGCCTTAAATGATATTGTGCTTGGTTTCGTTGTAGTGTTGGATCCTAGTTCCGTCTATACACAGTGAACAACAAATTACCCATGAACTTGAGGATTTATTCTTCATTCCCGTTTTCTTACAACCGTTGTAATGTAGCACGCAAGCCATGGTTAACTTTTTTCTATGCGTTTCTTTCCTCACTCTAGGCTCGAACGGACATCAGTACATGTTCCTCCTGAAAGGACATGAAGATACACGACAAGATGAACGTGTAATGCAATTTTTCGGTCTAGTCAATACTCTGCTCATGAATAATGCGGAAACACTGAGGCGTAACCTAACGTGAGTTTTCCATTTCCTTCTAATCTGTTTTGATCCGCGTGCCTGCCAGTTTACGGTACATTTCACTTTTGAACGTCTCGTCAATAAGTTTTCTTTCGGTTTACCTCGAGTTGTCATTTGAATATTCCGTTTAACCTCTCGGATTTCCCTTGTACACGGTAACAAACACTTTCTGAAAAATTCACCTCTATTCTATTGTAATTTTTGCTCAACCATCTGTACCTTTATGAACGACTTATGGTTAGTTTGTCTATCATGTGCGTCCACGCAGGAAACCCATTTGGGCTACAGATTGAACTTCGTCAATGAGTACTGCTCAGTTTTGTCAATAACCGTATGCTGCCACCGAGGTTTTTGCTTCCCGTATCACAACAGTCGATCGATCTGAAGAAAATTAAAAAAGTCAGATCTCTCATCGGTCTGCCGTTTTAGTAACTCATTCACTAAACGTTCCTCTCTCTCTCTATATATATATATAATGTGTTTTGGTATACTGAAGACTGTATTCACTTCTATCAATGATCCAATGGATTCCACACATCTTATTCACAGGCCGACTTTTGTCTTTGTCGAACGTTTACAGCAATTACCTGGAAAAATAGTTTTTTTCATTCCTTTTGTCTATTTATTACACGCCTCTTTGAAGTATTGTTGCCCTCCTCTATAGAAAATAAAAGCTCTATTCGTCACTTGATCTAGTTTGGTCAAAAATCACGGAAATCAACCCCTTTTTATGTTTTCAATTATCTGTACCAATTCGGTGAAACGAGCCGGACTTTGTTTCTCTTTCGAATCTGATTGCATCTGTGGTACGCACTTCTTAATCAACAGCCACAACTGCCTGCGGCGTTCATCACATCTCGCTTCACAATCGTAATGGCCTCCGGATTTCCGAGACCCATCTACAAGTACATTCCTTGGATAGCATGATTCTTTTTGACTGAGTCAAATCTCTTTGAAAGATAGTTTTTTGCTCACTGAAAAAGCAGCGTGTTAAACATTGTTTTCCCTGTTTCTCTGGCCGTAGACAAATCAAATCATTCATACATTCAGGTGTAAAATAGTCCGGTCCGATTCAGGTGGGTTTCCACGGAGGTTACTTTCTAAACTGCTTCTCTTTCGTTTATTGTCTAGTCACCAGGGCCTATGTGTGAAGAAGTTTCATTGGAACCACTGACAGATAACTCGTGGATTGTAATATTTTATGGGTTGAACACAGAATATGACCGAATCTGTTTGCGGTGAATAGGTTTTGGTCAATTGAGGTTGAACAGTTTGAACTAACATCCGTTCTGACCNCCCCCCCCCCCCCCCCCTATCCCCGTTGTTGAACTGCTCAGACTGATTGAATGCACGCAGCACATACTATCTTCATCATATCCAATGGATTCATCCGTAAATTGGGCTTATTTTCGATCAGGAGCAATCGTGTTTAAAGATAACCTAAATTTAAGCGAGTAGTAACTTCACTACGATATCCACTTTCTGCTCATTGTTATTTTTCCCTTGGACAGAATTCAACGAATGTCTGTCATTCCATTGTCGACCAATACGGGTCTATTCGGTTGGGTCCCCAACAGTGACACATTGCACAGCCTGATTCGAGATTACCGCGAAAAAACCGGGACAGTGTTGAACAAAGAAAATCGGGAGATGTTAATACTGGCTCCGGATTTCGATCGGCTAAACGTGATTCAGAAAACTGAAATTTTCGAAGCTGGTCTACGCGAGTCTTCTGGACGTGATTTAGCTAACATCTTATGGTTGAAAAGTCATAGTTCGGAGGTTTGTTATTTCGTTTCTTTCTCTACTGTCTCACTTGATTTCCCCTTCTAAGTTACCATCTAGATTTGAAACCATGTGGACCTCAAAAGTATCGATTTGCTGCCTCCTTCCCCCGGAGCACAAAACTTAAAACCTAGAACCTTCACATACTTGTTTAAACATCTCTGGTCATTTCTCACGTGATACGAACCGGAGGGAAAGTGAACACGAGGAAGGGTATCATCCCGACTGGTCACGAGAAACGGGAAAAAATTTCATGTTATATTTGAAAAATACTCTTGATTTGTTCAAAAATAGAGGGTTCTAAGGTATAAATAATTTTTTGAAGATTCGATAAAAGTGAAATCGTGGTGGCTACGCTGAACGAAACGCTGTGATTTCCATCAATTTTACTAAGGAGTATTCTTCTCCAAAGTGCGGTAAATGAGTAACCGGATACAGAAACCGATTTTACTTGCAAAATTGCTCCGGCCCGTTGATTGGTGCATGAAACCATATTGACAGTTTGGCTATACTATGAGATATATTTCAAGTTACTTACAATGTTTTACTTTGATTCCGAAAGATTCGAACGTGTTCAGGCAAACAGTGAGATAACTAGAGCAGGAAAATATGGAACATGTTCAGAGCATCCCCGTATACCAAGCAATCGAAGAGCATCGGTTTCTAATTTCGGTGCAGGATTGGAACCCAACAATTGATTTGATTTCACCCTCTTCGTGAACCTTAAAAAGTCTTCAGATCCATGAACTCTCTATTTTTAACTATGAATTAGCATTTCCCCAATAAAACATAACACGTCCTCCTGTTTCTTCTTCATTGAGTAGGAAATAGGTCACCAAGTTGCGTAACCTTTTTTACTACACACATTTGTGTGGTGAATAGCAGACGGAGTGAATCCCATTGTCATGAAGACCTGCTGCTCCGTCATGGAAACCGGTAATCTAAGCCCGGGACTGGTGAACCAATAGGTTAGGCGTGGTATTGGACCGGACGACAGCGAAGCTGCCTACCACCATATTCGGGTGGCGGTGTTGGGGCTCGAACCTCAGGCCACAGGGTCCAAAGCACGCCGGTGACAGCGACTAAACCCCTGTGCTGCCACCACAACTGAGTCAAAACGTCAGGTATGCGGTGACCTCATGCCGTAAGAGTGCTTCAGACAGTTTTTTTCTCCCAGTATACAGTGGGTGCTAAAACACAGCTAGTGCTCAATTCACGGGAAGATCCTAGTGGCTACTTTTTGCAATCTAGTAATTCTGAAAGTCAACGAGAAATATGTGCATGCATTGCTATTATGTCCACTTGTCAAATTTTAGACACTTCATTCGCCTTGTTTATGGGTTTGCTTTTGTGGAGTTGAATTAGACGCCATTGAAAAACTGTGCTGTTTGGTGGAAACTTACCGGTCCGCCATACTGTTTTCTTCAGGCTTGGTTTGAGCGACGGACCAATTTCGTACGTTCAATGGCCACGATGTCCATGGTCGGCTACATCCTTGGCTTAGGAGACAGGTAGGAGATTGTTGACGTTGGTATTTCGTTCGCGGTTCAGTGCTATCGTTTCTTTGCAACCCGAGCTTCTCTAGATTTCTTTAGCGCTAATAATTTTCAGCTTTTTGGCGATATTGGTTTCCACTATGAAGAAGTTCAACTTTTTCCTGATCATTCATCTTCGCACGCTTTATCATCGCGAAATGTCTCAGTTTGTGCTTTACATTGTATCAATGCATACCTGGTACAATAGTTAGTTTAAGGTATGGAATCCATAATGATGAGGGGCCCCCATTCCGGGTTTAAAACTAGCATCTCGGTAGTTATTCCAGGAACGTGGAATGACGAACCTGACAGAACGACAGTGAGTTTGTTTACCACCAACGTTAGACATAATGGTGGCGAGATTGAACTCTTGAATCCTGCGTACCGGTCTACATCAACGGCAGCAATCTCAACCGCTCAAGCTCTTCGGAATGAATCATCGTTTTTGAATCACACTTATCGTGCGGTCAAGTTATTTCATTGGAGTAACCCATGTCCGTCCGTCATGTGAAGTCATCTTTGACTTTAGTTATCCTGAGTATTCACCTTACAATAATATATCATTTGGCTTTCACATTCTGGTCATTGTTTGAATTGAGTATTTTGACAATTATCGTTGAATATCCGGGTTGTGGTCTTTAGGAGTGGGGAGCGGGAAGTGACTTTCGCACATGAACTTGTTCACATCGACCGAAACGCGTTATTGTCGCATTGTGTAATAGGCCAATTGTTTGAACTCATTGCGGCAATCACATCTTGATTCCCTCGAAATTTATTACTAAGTGTCTTTGCTTTCCAGAAGAATGACTGTTTACTGCACATCAAGAGAACATTCAAGCAGATTCTTGTTTTGATTAAATGCTTGTCCTCCCAAATTGACCAAGCATATTTTTGTTCATCGTTAAGCCTGGTGTTGATGTTAGTTCGTGTGCTTACTCCTCCACTTGTTTCTTTGCTATCAATTTTTGTCAGACATCCATCCAATATCATGTTGTCTCGTGAAACCGGTAAAGTAGTGCATATCGATTTCGGTGATTGCTTTGAGGTGGCCATGATGCGTGAAAAATTCCCGGAGAAAGTGCCATTCCGCCTCACGCGAATGATTATCGCAGCCATGGAAGTAAGTACAATAATCGAAAAGTTGCACACTGTCCGATTGATTTGTCGTTTTGTCTCGCGTAAATCTACGTGAATTTTACCACTCCGGACGTTGCAATGCATTCAGTTATGTGACTTGCTTGTGTTTCATTGTTGTCAATATTTTCTCATTTTCTTTACAGGTTACAGGTATTGATGGCGTTTATCGTCAGACTTGTGAAATGGTTTTGTCCTTGGTGCGTACTCATCGTGAGAGCCTGTTAGCCGTGCTGGAAGCTTTCATCTACGACCCCTTGTTACAGTGGGTGCTACTGGAGAACCGTAAGGACTTCACACACTTGGACAATAAAGTCGATGAGGGTGCTGGTGGACCCGGTGCCGCTGGAGGGACTGCAGCTGCTGTGGTTGTCGCTACAGCTGCCGGTGCAGGTGTTCCCGGTCCAGTGCAAAATGGCGTGGCTCCCGTAGTGAACGGCGTACCTGGAGCGCTTCAAACACAACAAGCGAAACCGCCTGTAGATCCGCATCACCGGTTAACTCAGGTAACTGTTACACTCTCGTATTGGCTTGTTTCCCTTTCATGTTAATGTGAAAACGTTGACGTTGATGTAACATCTGTCGCATCGTAGTTCTGTCTTGTGACCGTGAAACATTAGATTTGTGTCAAATTAGGATTTGCGCTCATCATGCTCAATGTAATTGGGCACACGTGAGATGGATTTGGAGGGGGGGGTCTTAAAAATTCGGGATGTGTGTTCGAGAACATCTCGTGGTAGCTTTTCGCACGAGGCGGCTATGACAGCACTCACATTTTGGACTGATCATCCCGTTCCCACTTCTGCTCATAATGCATATCATCATTTATCGCGGCATCCCTTTCACACGTGATCCCAGTTCGCCAACGTAGATTGCAACCATAGTGCTCATTCAACTCAAGTGCTGACAGCCTTTCGATCTTTCAAATATGCCACACTAGACCAGTAAGTAACTATTTGCGACTCAACACATAATAATGTTGTCAATAATGCCCTTTCTATGATCACGAAAATCTCAGCTGAAATAAACCTTACGGAGAAATTAACCTCTACTTTTGAAACCGAGATTTCCGCGGATTTCACAGTCCTTTTATCTTTGCCTTCGAACGTGGATTTTCCATCAGACTGAATCCTGCGATATACTTTTAGTGAGTCCACCATTTAAACAGGTTTATAACGTCTCTGTTTGCAGAATAAGATTACTGATAATGTTGGGGGGGCAAGCTAGTTAGTCAACTGCTGTTTTTTAGGCTAGACATACCGTTTCCAAACCTGGAGAACTAGGCAAATGTGTTTCTTTTTTTTCTGCGAACAGAATCAAGGTGCTCAGACCACCGCTGCGCGACGTCCCACGGATCGTACTGGGGGTTTAGCTCCAGCCAACAACACAAACCAACAGCAAACAAATGCCTACGAACATCAAACTTACAATCAAGCGCATTCCAGTCACGGATCCACGCGTTGCTCCAATTCGCCCCGGCGAGTATTCACAAATCCCAATCATCCTGATAGCCTGTCACTCCGCGATCCGCACAAAATTAACCCTTGGAGACATCATCTGTGTAACGGTCCCTGGTTTGGTTGCTACGAAACAGGTGAGTGTCTGTGCCTATTCAGTACACACTTCTCACCTCAGTTGCCCTGCTGGACGCCCGTAGAACCCTTCCTCCGGATGCCACATACGACACAGCGCGCAAATCCCTTAAACGCCAGCTCATCAAGAGTCTGAGGAATGACCGTGAGAAATGGTAGGTAGAAAAGTGTAAAGAGACAGCGAGAGCTGCGGCTATTCGTAATAGTCGTAACCTTTTCCATCTAATTAGGAATACGGGCGCTAGAAAAATAAGCGTAAGTAACCTCACTCTAACTGGCGAAGTAATAGGGCAAGTGGATAAGTTTTGTTATTTGGGCAGCTACATCTCACCTGGTGGACGCATCACAGATGAAGTGTCCGCTTGCATACAGAAGGCTCGGTTGGCATTTGCTAACTTGAGACATCTGTGGCGCCGTCGCGACATCCGGCTGTCTGTGAAGGGTCGAGT